GGAACCCCTACTCCTGGGCAAGCTGGGGGGGGCATGGCCGGGCTCGCCATGGGCTGGGGGCCGGGCTGCTCCCTTACCAGCGGCACCCCCACCTTTGGGGGGAGCCACCCGCAGCACCGTGGCTGCCACCACCGTTCCCCTCCAGCCTCGCCGTGCTGTGATGTGCGGCGCAGGGAAACTGAGGCACGGCCGGGGTGCGCGGGGTGGGGACACGCTGCCCCCCGCTCCCCCTGGCTTCGTGGCTCCCCGACCCGGGGGCAGCGGGGTCCTGCCGGGGCACCCCCTCCCTTCGCTCTGGGGCTGCTGGGGGGCCCGGCACAACGCCGGCCCCCCTCCCCTCCGCCTCCTCCCTCCCGGGGTCGGGGGGGACGGACACGGGACCCGGGCGGGCTGGGGCGGGGAGGGGAAGGGAAAGAGGTGGGATTATGGAGGCGGGACCCAATGAGCCCGAAAAACGTGCCCCGCTCGCAGCCCTTTTAGCGCGGCGGAGGGGCGGCAGCAGCCTCCCGGCGGCGTGCGGAGAGAGCCGGCACCCCCGGCCCGTCCCGGCCCGGTCCCGTCCCGGTGCCGTCCCCCGCCATGGCGCTGGGGAAGCTGCAGAAGGTGCTGATCAGCGACAGCCTGGACCCCTGCTGCCGGGAGATCCTGCAGGCCGGCGGTCTCCGGGTGCAGGAGAAACCCGGCCTGAGCAAGGAGGAGTTGCTGCGGGAGATCCGGGTGAGCGCGGCGCGGCCGGGCTGCACCCACGGGTGGGTGGGTGGGTGGGTGCGTGGGGGGACGGCTGTCCCGGCTGGCAGCGGACCCCCTCCGCCTCGGCCAGCGGGGCCGGTTCCCGCCTCCCGTCTGATGCAAGAGCCCGACGGGTTTCGCACGGCGGATCCCAGCCCCCGGCAGCGGCTGTCCCCCACCCGCGACCACCCTGGGACCGCCAACCCCGTCCCCGGTCCCGGTCCCACCCGCCGCGTCTGTCCCCCCCCCAGGACTGCGACGGGCTCATCGTCCGCTCGGCCACCAAAGTCACGGCCGACGTGCTGGCGGCGGCAGAGAGGCTGCAGGTGGTGGGCAGAGCGGGCACCGGCGTGGACAACGTGGACGTGGAGGCAGCCACCAGGAAGGGTGTCTTGGTCATGAAGTAAGAGCATGGGGACATCCCTGCCTGCGCTCCTGGGGAGACAGGGGAGGGTTCCACAGGGTGCCCTCCCCACCCGTGGCACCCCATGGCACCACCCCGCGGGTCTCCATCCTCACGGGGTGCAGACCCCTGTCAGCCTGGGGGTGACACGCCAGTGACACTGCTTTCCATCCCCAGCACACCCACTGGGAACAGCCTCAGCGCCGCCGAGCTCACCTGCGGGATGATCCTGTGCTTGGCCAGGTGAGCGCGGGACAGGATGGGGGGATGGACATGCACCCCACGTCCCCCTGCTCCTGCACTGACCGCAGCCTCCCTTTTCAGGCAGATCCCGCAGGCAGCTGCCTCCATGAAGGAGGGCAAGTGGGACCGTAAGAAGGTAGGAGATGGGCACAGCACCCCAGGCAGGATGGTGTGGTGGGTGCCCGTGTGGGCTCTGCTCGCTCATCTCCGCTTTTCACCCTAGTACATGGGCATGGAGCTGAACGGGAAGACGCTGGGAGTGCTGGGACTGGGGCGCATCGGCAGGGAGGTGGCTACCCGTATGCAGGCTTTTGGCATGAAGGTAAGGAGCCGGGGCAGGGAGGAGCAATGGGGAGCACGGCCCCCCCAGCCCGGCCGCGAGCATCGTGCCAGGCTGCAGGACCGAGCGCCCACTTTGCCTCAGACCATAGGCTACGACCCCATCATCACCCCCGAAGCCTCGGCCACCTTCGGCGTGGAGCAGCTGCCGCTGGAGCAGATCTGGCCCCGGTGTGACTTCATCACGGTGCACACACCGCTGCTGCCCTCCACCACAGGTACAGGGGGGGTGTGGGGGGATTTGGGGGGAGCCAAGGCAGCCCCTCACCACTCACAGCCCTCCCTCCACAGGGCTCCTGAACGACAGCACCTTCGCCAAATGCCGCCGCGGCGTGCAGGTGGTGAACTGCGCCCGTGGCGGCATCGTGGATGAGGGTGCGCTGCTGCGGGCGCTGAGGTCGGGGCAGTGCGGCGGGGCCGCTCTCGACGTCTTCACGCAGGTGAGCGGGGCCGCGGGGACCCCCCAAGCTCAGCTTTGGCTCAGCATCACCTTAACTCTGCCCAAGCCAGGCCAGGGCAGCCCGACAAACCCTGCGGGACCGGGATCGGGCACAGCCCTGCCCCAGCTCCCCTCCTTGCAAGGGAGGAGGGGGTAAATGCTCCCCTTGGGCTCCCAGGTGGGTGCTGGGGGCTGATGGTGGGACGGGGCTGTGTTGGCAGGAGCCCCCGAAGGACCGCGACCTGGTGAACCACCCCAATGTCATCTGCTGCCCACACCTGGGTGCCAGCACGCAGGAGGCGCAGAGCCGCTGTGGCAAGGAGATCGCCATGCAGATCGTGAACATGGCCACGGGGAAGGGGCTGGCTGGCACAGTGAGTCCCCCTGCCAGGCACCTGACCTCTGTGCCTCAGTTCCCCTGTCTGTAAAGCATGGATGTGTTGGGAACGACCCTGTGCGCTCGCTGGTGGGTTCCCATCACACATCCTGCTCTTCCTTGCAGGTCAACGGGCAGGCTCTCAGCAAGGCTTTCGCGCCCCAGACCAAGCCCTGGATCACCCTGGCCAGGGCTCTGGGCACGGTGCTGCGCACGGTGGGCAAGAAAGCGCAGGGCAGCGTGCAGGTCTGCACCCTAGGTGAGCCGGGCAGGCTGCGCCCTGTGTCTGGGTGCAGGGACCCCAATGGGTGGGCAGTGCAGTGGGGTGTGTGGGGTCCCACTGGGCTGGGTGGATGGGAGGAGGGATAGGAGGGCAGCCAGAAGAAGGGATGGACAGGAGAGTGGTTGATGGAGGGATGGGAGGATGGTGGGAGGACGGGGGCATGGGTGTATGGGTGGGTGCATGGATGGGTGGGAGGATGGGAGTAGGGGTGGGTATATGGATGGGTGGCTGGAAGGACCAGCCCCAGGCTGGCTGCTCCAGTGTGGGGCTGACCTCTCTGCTGCTGGCCCATCCACCCCCTGCCTCCTCCCTCCACCCCAGGGACACCCCTGCAGGAGGCCGAGAGCTATCTGACACCTGCCGTGGCCGCGGGCATGCTGGCCGGAGGGGCGCAGAAGGACATCACCCTGGTGAATGCCCTGCTGCTGGCCCAGGAGGCTGGGCTGAAGGTGCGTGGACACCTGGGGCTCCACACATCAGCCTGGTGCACCGAGGCCCCATCCTTCCCGGGGTTGCCCTGTGGGGCTGCTAATGCAGCTCTCGGGCTGGGGGCCATTCCCTGGGGTGGCCTCCAAGAACATCCCTTCCTTCCCCGTGCCCTGTCACGCACCTGGGCACTGAGCGGCCACGTCTCTCTGGCAGGTCATGACCACCCACGGCGATGTGGCCCCTGAGCCCGATGGCAGCACTGGTTTGCTGCAGGTGTCCCTGCAGGGCACCCCGCACCGGGCGGCGGGGACGGTGCAGGGCAGCACCCCGGTGCTGCGGGAGATCAATGGGGCCACCTTCAAGCAGCCAGCCCCACTGGCCGGCCCCATCCTCATCTACAGAGCTAAAGCCTCCGAGTCCAGCATGTTGCCTGCGCTCACCGGTGAGCTCCCCACCTCACCCCCGAGGGGGGGGGCAGCCTGGGGGAACCCCGCATCCGCCCCAGAGCTGAACCCCTGCTGCAGCAGGGAGGGGGCAGATGTTGCACGGAGAGACAAGGATGGGGGGACTTGAGCAGAGGGTTGGGGGCTTGGAGCAAAGGACATGGGGTGGAGGAAAGAAATGGCACTGTGGACCTTATGAGGGGTGTTGGAGTGGGCAGAGCCCTGCTACCCGCTGGGTGCTGGGGCAGCCTGTGGCCCCTAACACCTTTCCTCTTCTCCAGGGCTGCTGGGGAAGGTGGGGGTCCAGCTCCAGTCCTACCACAGCTCCAGCACCGTGGCAGGGGAGCAGTGGAGCGTTGTGGGGCTCTCGGCCCCCCTGTCTGACCTCAGCGAGCTGAAGCCACATGTCACGGAGGTCTTCCAGCTCCAGCTGTGAACCCTGACTGCCAGCAAGGACTCTCCCCATGGCCGCAGCACCTGGACCCCCCCCACAGCCAGGGGAGCATTGCACCTGGCTGCCCCTGGCCCCCATGCTGGGCTTGGGGTGGCCCTATGCTCAATAAAGGGTCCAGGAGAAGAGTGTGTGATGCCTTGTCTCTGCAGTCCTTTGTCCTCAACCCCAAAGCTCCTGCAGGCTCTGTCCCTCCTGCCCACCCACCCCGGCCCAGTCACTTGTTTGCTCAAGGGTGCAAAGGTCTCCCTGGTTGCTGTGGCCCCACCGAGGTCCCATCCGGCCACCATCCTGTGCTGGGACATAGCCCAGAGAGCAGGCAGCGATCCAAGGGGGGCTGAGCCCTCCCGTGAGCCCCTGCGTCGCCTGCCCCCTCCTGCCCCCTGGATGTTCCCATGGGGATGTTTTAATCTACCAATGTCATGGGGAAAATGGCACCTTACCACCCCCAAACTGGAGACTGGGCATTACTTGGCTCCCCCAAAACGTCAGGGCATGGGGAAAGGGGGGTACTGAGGCATGTCTACAACAGGGCAGATGGCCACGTTGGGTACCCATGGGATAAATCCTGTAAGGGGCCGCGATCTAGCCCCGCAGTGTTTGAGGGGACCACTAGTGACCAGGAGCCAGAGCCAGCCTGCTGCCCCCTCTCATCCGTGCCTTTATTCCCCCACACTGCCCAGGCGTTTGCAGAAAACGCCAGCCACTGTCTCCACCAGTTCCAGGGCCCGAGGTGCCGCTGGCCACTTTCCGGCCATCCAAGGTGAGGTTTGTGGCAGAGGCCAGCCCCGGATTTGGGGGTGAGCAGGGATGCTGGTGGGGAGGAGAGCATCCCCTTCTCCAGGGCTTACTGCTCCGCTCCCCCCTAGACGGGCTTCCTGGCATATTCCCGGCGGTACTTGGCATCCACCCGCGTCAGATACCAGGTGCCGGGGAAGAGATCCGCCGGAGAGCCGTGGGGAGCGTGGTCGGCTGCAGGGAGAGGGCGGTGATGCTCAGGGGGTCTGTGGGGTCCTGGCGGGGGGGGGGGGGGGGGAGTGTGTCGCATGCCCTTGCCCCAACTCACCCAAGTGATGGGTTTCCTCCCGCTGCTTCATGATCTTGGCAAAGTCCTGCGGGGCCACGCGCTTGCGGGCATCCAGGCGAGCTGGCAGGTCAGCCAGGCTGGAGACCAGCTTGTCCAGGGGCGAGCCTGGAGATGGGCACCCGCCGGGTGAGACAGCACTGCCGGCGGCCCTGGCCCCACACTGCTCTCCCTTCCCGGCCCCCCTCACCCGTGGGGCTCACCTGGGGCCGCATCCTGCGAGACACGGAGGGAGAACATGCTGGCGGCCAGCCCTGAGCCGTAGGAGAAGGCGCCGATCCGGGAACCAGCCAGGTCCTGTGCTGAGGATCTGCAGCAAGGGGTTAGGGGGATTAGAGGAGATTTGGGGCTGGAGGGGGGTGGGAGACTGTGGGGCCAGTGCAGGGGGCTGCCTCCTGCCCTCTTTGCAGGCAGGGGGGTCCTGGGACTCGGGGCTGCATGGCCCTGGAGCGTGGTGGTGCTGGGGAGCCCCAGGATGAGGCTTTTGTCGCCCCCAGTGCCTGGCTGTTCCCACGGCTCTTTTGCTGCGGGGTCAGCCATTCTGCCGAGCATGACAACGGGGTTTTCATCCTCCCGGTGCCAAGAGAAGGGCTTTATGTGCCAGCCCAGCTCCAGTGAGCTGGTATGAAAAGGCTGGCAGGGAGATGGCGTGGAGCAGGATGCATCGACACCAGGGGTTATGTGCGATGAAAGTGTCAGGTCTCTGCTGGGGGCAAGGGATGAGTGCTGGCACCTGCCCCCACAGCTAGCCAGGCCAGGGGCTGCCCTCCCTGAAATGACCTCCTCCCCACCTGAGCCAGCTTTTTTGGGGACTCACTGCGCCAGGAGGGAGGCCAGGCAGCCATACATGGAAGGTGTGTACATGTTGCCATTGCGGGAGGAGAGGAGCAGGGAGGGCTTGGTCTTCTGGTTGAAGATCTCCTGGCTGGCCGCCTGGAATGCCTTCTCCACCTCCTTGCTGGTGTAGGTGTCCTCCAGCTTCACACCGCTGCCCAGAGAGAGGCCGGCTCGAACCCCACATGGGCACGTCCCCGGCTGGGCTAGGGGATGGGGGACACGGTGTGGGGACCCACCGAAAGGGCTGCAGCCCCTTGTAGAGGCCGGTGGCAGTGTCAGGGTTGGGGGTGGCCAAGAAATCATTCAGCAGCAGCCGCCCCACAGACTTCTGCACCAGCTTGCAGAAGGGCGTGTGGAAGATGATGAACTTGAAGTCATCGAGGGTGAAGGGCCGCTGGATGCCAGCTGGAAGGCAACGTGGGGCCATCAGCATCCAGTGGGATGGCACGGGCACCCCAGGGGTGCCACCGCTTACCCTGCTGCCACTGGCTCTCCGCCTTCTGGCGGTACACGGCGTAGCAGCGGTCCAGCGCCCGCAGGTAGCACTGGATAGAGAGCTGCCCGTCCACCACCGGGTACTCGGAGGCCAGGTCTGGCTTGTAGAAGTCATAGGCGTGCTCCATGTGAGTTCCCCGCAGGCCTGGGGAAACAGGGAAAGCCAGCTGTTGGGGAGCGTTGGGGGGTCCCAGCCAGATGGCAAGCACCCATCCACCAGCCTCCCTGGGTTGCTCTGTGGTGCCCAGAGGGATGTGGCCAACCGGGATCCTGGGGTCCCCAGCACCGGGCAGCCACCAGGGCTGGCAGAGCCGGTACTGCTGGAGCTGAGCAGCTCTGGGGCTGGGACATGGATGTATGGTACCCAGAGACAGCACCCATCAGCTCGCCATCCCCAGGGTCTCATGACACTGACCTCTCTCCAGCACCAGTGGGGCATTGGGTCCCACCAGCATGGCGATGGCACCGGCACCTCCCGTGGGCCGCGCGTTCCCCGTGGCATAGACAGCGATGTCCCCACATACCACCACAGCGTAGCGACCTGGGGGAGAACAGGGGGGCCAGCGGGGCTGTCAGCAGGTGGGAGCCTCCATCCCATGGCCCTCATGTACTCCCATCTCCATGCTGCCACGTGCCATGGCCAAAGTGGGCAAGAAACAGGGGTCATGGAGAGTTTGGAGGGGCAGCAGCTCCCTTTGAGGCTTGCCAGAACATCTTTGGGTTTCAGGCCACCTCTTGCCTCCTTCTCCCATCCCATGGAACCCACCCAACATCCAGCTGCCCCATCCTCACAGCACAATCCCTGTCTGCACCCACCATCCCAGGCACTGGATTCCACCCAGGCTGCCGCGTTGAAGAGCGAGGCCGTGCCCCCGTAGCAGGCGTTGGTGGTGTCGATGCCCTCCACATCAGTGTTGCCCGAGTCGTGGAAAAGCTGCATGAGGACGGTCTTGACGGCCTTAGACTTGTCGATGACGGTCTCGGTGCCCACCTCCAGGCGGCCAATGGCATCCCAGGAGAGCCGCCCGCGCTCCACCAGCCGCTGCACCACCGTCAGGCACAGGGAGTTGATGTCCTCGTGGGCGGCGCAGAAGCCCATCTGCTGCTGGCCCAAGCCCCGTGTGTACTTGCCGGCCTCTACACCGTCGTACCGCTCCAGCTCCTCCTGCTCCACGTACTGGGCGGGGAAGTACACTTCCAGCGCCAGGATGCCCACATCCTTGGGCCAGGTGCCCGTCCCGGCGGCGCTGGAGAGGCTGCGGGGCAGAGGGAGCGGCGACAGTCCTGCGGTGGCCCCAAGCTTCGGGGACAGGCGGTGGCCCTGGGGAGATGCCACCAGCGAGCACCCCAGGCCGTGAACATCCCAAATCCCTGCTGGTTCCCTGTGCCCAGCAGCGCTGCGGGGAGGAGGGAGAGCATCCCCTTCCCCAGCAAGGTTTAAGAGCACTGCCAGCTCCCCAACCCCCCCTGGTTATGCCTCCACCCCACCCAACCCACATGGATGCTCACCATGCCCTCTGCACGGCCATGGGGTGCTGGGCCCCCCTGGGTGCCCGCTCTGGCCCTGCTGGTGCCCGCCTTGCCCCCCAGCAGCGTGTGGCGCGGCCGACCAAGCGCAGCATCTTCGCCCCAGCCGCTGCACGAACAGAGGGACAGACGGCAGGACGGACCTCGCGTGGTGCTTTTATAAACTGCGCGGGCGGCATGGCACAGCCCTCCTGGCCCTTATCAGCGTGCCGGACCCCGGCGCTCAAAGGTCACTTAGCGCCAGCCAACGCGACAGGGACAGCAGAGTAAGCGCTGGCTTTGGAGGGGGAACTTGCAAGACGTCTCTGCCTTGTGCCCCAAAGCCTGGGGACGCGCTCGGCTGGAGCTGGGGCTGAGCAACGGAACGGGCTCTCCCGCAGCCCCGGCTCCCCGTGCCGTGTGGCGGCGGCAGCTCCGGTGCCCGTGGCTCACCAGCACGGCTGCGGTCACTGCACGGCGTGAGAGGTGCTGTGTGGCCTCTCTGACTGGCCCTGTGGTCCCAGGGAGGGAGCAGAGGGTGGCTGGGGCTTTGGTGCCGGCACCATCTGTGCCGTCCGGGATGCGGTCCACCTCTGTCACATGCTGTGGCTCCAAGAAGGAAAAAACCCATGAGCTGGGTGGGGGCAGAGCCATCTTCAAAACAGCCAAGCAAACAACCACGTGATGCCTGTGGCAATACTGTGGTGACACAAGAAGGGACCTTTGGTCCCGGTGCTGCTGTCAACATGGCCATGGGGCAGCATCGCCCCCCCGGGACCCCTGTGGAGCCATCTGCACTGGGGGGGGGGCACTCATCCTCACGCCTGCACATGCACGACAGCTCCCATCCCCACCCACACCTGCGCCCCAGGTCTCCTCCACGCCTGCACCGTAGGGACACTCCTGTCCACCCCACCTGCACCCCAGGGACACCTGTCCCATTTGGCACCAGAGGGCTGGGGATGAGCAAACATGAGCGGCCGGCTGGGAGAGCCACCAGCCCCACGGCTCCTGGGGACTCACCCCCAAAGAGCTCCACCAGCACTGGCAGCACTGAAGCCCCCAGAAGCTGCAAAGCTCGGGGGGCCACGGCAGCACCTGTCTCTCCCTCACCTAGACTGGCTCAGGGCTTTGCACCAGCACCAAGCTCACACAACACTTGCATGCTTCTTTTTTTATAGATGTATTTTTAGGAGTTGGAGGGAGAGAAGCGGAGGTGGCGAGGGAGGAACATCGCCCGTGCGGGGTCACCCAGGGGCTGCGCTCAGAGCAAGGCGGTGAACTTGCAGATGTAGTGATGCTGCTGGGTGCAGTTGGCGCTGGACCACAGGGTGAAGCCTGCCGGAGAGATGGGCCAGGGGTTGGCAGGGGCCACGGTGAGGACAGGGGCACCAGCTCTGCTTGCCGCAGCCCCCCGCAGGGATAGGACCTGGAGGAGGAGGAGGAGGGGGGGATACTGGCGAAGACTGAGCGCTGGAGGTGGACTCAGGGTCTGGGCACTCACCGCTGAGGTGGGTCAGCATGCCGCAGGTCCCCCCGTGGGCACTGTTCCCATCCAGCCCGCTGGTGATGTTGTACTTGTCCCCACTTGTCCACTGCCAGGCCTGGCTCTGTGGAGGGAGAGGGGGGGTCAAAAACATGGCCCCGCTGCCCCTCACCACCCCCTGCCACCCTCCGCCTCACCTCCTGCCTGTAGTGGAGGCCGAGCCAGACGGGCTTCACGCGCTGGTAGTAGGAGATGATTCTCTGCAGGGTGGCCACCTCCCGGGGCTCCTCCACCCAGGCCAGGTGGGCACCAGGGTGTTTGCTCTGGCACTGCCTCTGCGGGGAGAGCCGTCAGTGCCGGGGCACCCCTGGGAGAGATTGGGGGTGCCTGACCGCCTGCGTACCCCGGTGGGCTTACCTCGGCCTCGTTCCAGCTCTGGGGCTGACGGAAGTACCCGAAGCAGCTGAGCTTGTAGTAGGACCAGCCCTTGGGGCAGTAGCTTATGTACCGGGAGCCTGCGAAGGGAGAGCGTGGGGAGAGATGGGGGACAGCCGGTGTCAATGGCCAGAGAGGAGCACGGCTCCCTCCTAACCCCGCTGCGAATGCCGCTGCCCCCCCAAGTCGTGGGACTCACCGGCCGGCTGCAGGAGCCCCACGCAGCCCAGCAGCAGGAGGACGAGTCTGGCCGCTGCCACCATCCTCCTCGCTCCTGGAAGTGTCCCCTGTAAGAGCTCGGGGGCTCACACCAGGTCCCTCAGGGACAGGGGGTGCTGCTTGTGCCCAGAGGCTGCAAACCCGCCCTGCTGTGGACTGGATCTGGCCCCTTTCAGCTGTCTAGAGAAGATGGCAGCCCCGGGGGCCGTGCCTCCCTCTCCCCTCCCTGGCACAGGTCACGGCTTCGTGCCCGCATCCCATCCTCCAGGCACGGCTTGGGGTCCCCAGCCCACGCTAGTGCTGGGGTCTCCCGGCCCCACCAGTCCCAGCCTCGGTGGGAGGCATCTGGGTGAGCCAAGCTGCTCTGTGGGGATATGGGGAGAGCACTGCCATGGGCACAGGTGGGGGGACCCCAGCCCTGCCCTGGCATTGGGGAGCAGCAGCAATGGCACAGGCAGAGCCGGGGCCGGTAGGGCTGCGGGGACTACGTGCACAGCATCGTTTTCGCTCCCCGAGTTTGTAGCGCTGCCAGACCCAGGCAGGGGAGGCAAATCGGCCACATCAGCGCAGTTCCCCTTTATCTGGGCTAATCCCTGGGCACCGGGGCTGATTTGCAGACTCAGCTCGTCTTCCCCTCAAAGAAGCAGCGACAAAAGTCAACACAGGGCTGAAAAGTGCATCGTTGCAGCCTGCCCCATCCAGCAAGGGCAGCGCTCAGCTCCCTTGGGAGCTGCCAGGGCTGGGACAGGCTCCTGTTCACCCACAAGCCACCTCGGAGCATCCCAAGGCCCCAGCCGCCCCACGAGGGTCTCCTTCCTCACCTGCTGTCCGGAGATTGGGAAGAATAACAGCTTCTGGTGGGTGACCAGGAGAGGAGAGGAGCTGCCCTTTATAGCCCGGTGCTCACCAGCATCAGTGTTTGCCCAGCTCAGGTGATTCCCACCATAAAAATCTTACTGCTGATTCCCCTCCATCCCCCCCACTTTGCTGGAAAGCTGCCCAGATCTCCGCTCTGTTTGCATTCAACATTTCTCCAGAAAAGACAGGAAGAACCTCTCCTAGTTGGTCAATAAACCCCCTGCAATTAGCGTTAATTACTAATGCAAACACAGAGATAACCTTGTGGCAGAGAGCAGCCTGGCACCAGGCAGGGATGCCCACTGGCCCAGCCCTGGCTGGACTGGGGGCTGGCAGGGGTGAGCCCCAGGGCAGGCTGCCCTGATCCTGGCCAGAGCATCCCTGTGGCGAGTGGCCAGGCTGTGGGTACCACCCATCGGCGTTGCCCGCATCCCCGGCCGAGGGATGGCACCCAGCCGGGTCCCACACCCTGCCCGGTTCCGTGATGCGTCACCCACACACCGCCCTTGTTTGAACTGCCTGGGGATGTTTGTCGGCAGGATGCACGATGCGGGGATGTGGGAACAGCCTGCAGCCGGGGGCTGGCGGGCACCATCAGGTAGCGGTGGGGGTGCCCGGCCCCCGCGCCCAGCAGTGACGCAGGGCTTCGTCAAGTCTGAGTCCCTCCAGGAGGAAGGGGCAGGCCCTGCAGCAGCAGCCCCCCGCTGCCCCTGCCCCATGTGGGGTACACCTGCAGACCTGGCCCTGTGGAGGCTGCTGCTGGCACGGAGCTGCAGAGGTGGGCTGCCCCTGGGCCCAGCAGCCGGAGCCCTCCGTCATGGTCCTCACTCCTCACCCCGGGGTGTCCTCTTGCGCTGGCGGGAGGCGGCTGAAGCTCATCTACCCTACTGCTTCCACCACGCTGCTCTGGAGCATCGCTTCGCTCACTCCTAACACACCAAAGCAGCTTTGAAAGCTCTTCCCGCCGCCTGTCCCGTAGCCTCCCGCAAAGCTGCCAGCTCCTACCCAGCACCCTGCCGCTGCCAGCTACAGCCAGTGCCAGGCTCTCCTTCCCCCAGCCCTCTCCAAAACGCTTGGAGGAGACCATTGGGAGCTACCCAGGAGGCAGCTACCCACGGAGGATCCAGCCCCAGAGCTTAGTCCTGCTTCCCCCAACATGGAGGGCTTGTAGCTGGCTGAAGCTGTTACTTCTGGCTGTCAGGCTCAAGCCACGTCCCCCAGGGATCTCCCACAGCTCCTTTGTGGCAGCATTTACCAAAACACGCAGCCAGTGAGTGCTGCTACACGCACAGGGAGCAGCTCCACACCAGCGTGCAGAGGCAGGTCTGGCTTTTGCCCTGGGGAAGGAGGAGGAGCAGACCCTCCTCTGCCCACACAGCCGGGATACAGCTGCTGCTGATTCCCGAGACCTCTGAAGGCTCAGCCAGCTTGCTAGGCACTCTCCGGGATCAAAGGGATAAGCCATCTTGTGCCCAAACACAGCTGCCGCCTGCTATCATTTCTCCTGAAACAAACAACCTCACAGAGGAGGTCAGCCACTCTGACTAATGGGGAAACCCTTCAAACACAGCAACCCCCCAAAAGACAGGACTCCACCCTTGTTTATGAAAAACTGTGAAAATGTTCCCCAAAGAGCCTGAGGCTACTCCATTACTCCTCAGTTAGATAAGGGATGCCCCAGCTCCCTGTCTGGCTGGTTCAATTAGGCTTATTTGGATGCAACACAAGTTTTCACAAGCCCCTCATCATCCCAGGCAGGGGAAGAGGCATGTGCCAACCCCGAGGAAAGGCAGTTTCAAGTCTTAGCCTGAGCACCAGCAAACTTGACGCAGCTGTGCCAGAGACACAGCAGAGTTCACTAAACTTTGGCACAGAAGTGCAACCTGTGGTAGAACATGGATGAAAACCTCCCAGAGGTTTGTATTTACCAAGCTGGCTCTACTAGAAGATAAAGGAGCTTTGTTTGAATATTAAACCCTTAAAATGCCCCCAGCAGCTTTATCCCTGCTAGGTATCATAATTCAGCTATTGGCTCCATCCAAGTCTGCAGTGAGAGCTGGAAACCAGCCAGGTGAGCACTAGTGGAGCCCAAGGCTTCAGTTGCACCTCCCTGCTCAAAATACAGCAAGGCAGCCATTGTCAGTTTGTTCTCCGATTGTTCAAGTCAAACTTTTCAAGTCCGAAACCAGCACGGAGGAGCTGTGATTCCATTTCAGAGGCTGCAGAATTGCACATCTTCATGCATCAGCTGCCAAGCCAAAGCCAGGGAGGCAGCCTCAGCTCCACGGATTAGGGTCCTCCTCCCACCTGGAAGAACAGTGGTGAACAGCCCAGGGAAGCAAGCAGGACCTGAAAGGGCAAGTGAATCCACGGCTCCGCTAATCACCGCCTGACCCACGCTTGCTCACAACCTTTCTAAAAGCCACACAAAAGCCCCAGCCCTTCTCTGGCTCTCAGACTCCCAGGCAAGCGAGAGCTCTTATTCAAAGCATCTCAAAAAGGCCCGAGGTAGCAACACTTCATTATTTGCAGTGAAACACGTACCTGGACAGACCTCCAGGAGTGTTGCTGAGCCACAGCACAGAGCACCCTTGATCCCCAGGAAGCTCTCTCCTGACACAGACTGTGGAGGTCCTAACGAGTCCTCCCTTGCCAGGGGTCTGAACAGCTATTGAACACCGATGATTCGTTTATAATCCAGTGGCTGTGCCGTGATAGCCAGGAAAACAAATGAAAACAGCAGCACACAGACACTGGGCACATACTCTTTATTCTGGGGATAAAAATTGCTTATACATTTTGCAGCAACTATTTTCATAAAAGACTTTTATAAAAAATGTAAAAATAAGCAAATATTTTCCATTATTAATATAGGAAAATGCTGCTGTGTGAATGGTTACTCTACAACTTATGAGATAAAATACCACCTTAAGGAGATATTATCTTTACAAGTAGTTAAAAAAAAAAAAGGCAGGCAGAGGGCCATCGTATTAACACGCCAGGCACGAAACTGGCTTCATTCCATAGAAAGCACTCATCTTGTAAAAGGTAGCCACATATATAAAAAGGCACTTGGTTATTTGGGGCTAACGAGGAAAAGCCCTTTGTTTCTTTAGCATCAATGTAGCAACACTTCATTATTTGCAGTGAAACATGTACCTGGACAGACCTCCAGGAGCTTGCAGGCTCCTGCCTGGAGATCTCAGTCAGTTGCAGCTAAACTTCACAGGACACACTGCAGCGAGCGTGCTGGGGAACGCTGTGTGCGTCATAAAAAGCAGTAACTTCAGAATTAAAAACTTCAGCCCGAAACGACAGCCCCGGGAACCAGCTCCTCCTGAGGCTCTGCCTTCATGTACCATTGAGTCACATCGAAAGAAAAAGCTTTTACGCTTGATCAGAATGGAAAGAAACATCAGAAAAAATACTGTACATGGTAGGATGCTGAGTGGCCGCTGCTCAGAGGGGAGCGGCCTTCTCTGTCCTTTGGCAGCAGCCAACAGCCCCGATCTCTTTGGAACACGTGTCTGTAGGGTTCCCCCGAAGAGGTAGGAGCAAACCATCCCCAGAAACGTTCACTTTGGCTGCTGACTGGTTCAGAGCCCTTCAGGGAAGCATTACTCTTGCAGACAAAGCAGAAAGAGCAGCTGTTTGTCTAAGGTCAGCGACAGCTGGCTTCCATAACTCCAAAAATATCAGGGGAGCTGCAGTACAAACAGCACTACCGTCCCACAGAGCACGTGGGGCACCTCAGCTGGGAAATTGCGGTGCAGGCTGAAGTTGAGAGCAGAGGACAGCCCCAAACCTGTTAATCAAACTGCATTAGGCAACCGTTTCTGAGCTATTTGGTCTGCCGCTTAAGCCCAGCTCCTGGCTTCAGGCACGCTGCTACTGCTGCTGCTGGAAGCCTGCTCGGGAGTCAGTGCTGCAGCCTCCTTGCTGGGAGGGGAAGACAAGGCAGCCCTGTCCCAGGGCTGGAGCAAAAGGGACACTTTTCAAAGGGCTGGACGCCGTTCCTGATGGAGAAGGACGCACACTGCAAACATGTAACAACGTCCTTGACACTTTTGATAATACCATAAAGAGGCAGCATATGGTATATGGAGGACAGGACACACACACAGCCACCCTTGGATGGAGGGGAGGGGAGTACTGTGCAAGAATGCTGGGAGCTTGTGTTACCAGG